CTGTTCTCCTTTCTTCATCTTCTACTTTGTCTGCATCCACAAACTTTTCCTCGCTCTCTTCAGCCTCTTCTTGATCCTTAAAGCACTCTTCATCATCTGACTCCTAAACAACAAAAAATGTTAGCGAACAGCTTTTCCTTTCCAGTTTTATTCTGATTTATTAGAAAAATGCACATATAGTTCTTAAGAAGCTACTTACAAAAATCTAAACAAGTGATGGCCAATGTTTAAGCAACACAGATTTTTGGCCTTGATACAGGACTTAAAATTGAACTTTACAGCTTACATTACACAAGTGTAATGATCCCTCCCCGCCTGAAGAAAGAAGAAAAAAAAAAAAGCCAGTCCTGCCTAGCTGTACTTCAGAGACTGCAGACAGAAGAAACAAACAGGCTGTGTTTTGACAAACCTTTTGGGCAAAGAATGTTTACCTGCTTACTTATACAGCATTTAGCGAAACAATCCTCTCCCCACGAATGAAGTCCATAAGACCTGTTAGAATGCTTGAAACACCCTCATGTATGCAGATTTTTAATACAGCTATAATTGTTCAAGTGCTTTCTCCCGTAACATTAGCAAAGCCTCAGGTTGCTAATAAACAGGTTAGAGAAACGTGCTTATGAAACTAGCTCTTACTGAGACTACAATGAGATAAAGAAATCAACTTATACCACATGATCCTGTAACTGGACCCTTAACTCTGGTTTTACTTTCAGAAGCTCAGACAGAAGGTAGAGGGTTCCACAAATGAAGGATGGCATTTGTCCACAAGTGACTTGAAGTAACCTCTTCACAAAGGCCTTCACGCGCCGTAACACTACATCTGCCTTCAGAGATTTATAGACAAGATTAAGAAACATGGATGGTTTTGACCAGGTTGCTAACGCAGGATCTAGAAGCTTCCTGTAGAACACACGGGAGAAAATATTGCCGATTGTTATAATGCATGTAGGATAATAATTATTACTAACAACAATCATCTACATTTTTCAGAGTGCCATCTAAAAGACCAGTGACAGCTTGTTATCCAATACTCAAAACCATTGAGACCAACCCTGAACAGTCAACAGGCCTGTAATATTTCTAGATATATGAGACACTGAAGATTAAAAAAACAAGTATCAGTAAACAAAAAAAACGGTAAGACAATATAAAGAAACTGAGTGGAACTGCAAACTGTTATTTCAAAACCAGTCTCAAAATTTGAGAAGTAAGAAACTAATCTGATTTATTCAGATGTTCAAAAAAATAGAAAGAAAATAGTTAGCAATTAGCATGCTTCACAATCAGACCTGACATACATGCTGGCAAGTTCATTTTCCACTCCAGTTTTTTTTTCCAGACTGCCAGGCATGGCAAGGCCCCTAAATACATTGCACGTTCTGGGGGAACTTGAGCTCCCTTTTTAAAAATCAGCAGCTTCCCTTTGGTGTAGTAAACAGAAGCCTGTAAGTATCCTACAAACAGTTTAAACAACCAGCTCGGATGAAAACAGAGAAACTCTTATAAGATAAGGCTTTCCAACCACACAAATTAAATCATCTGAAGAACTTGTTAACACAGTATTTGCCTGCCCCCCATACAAAGAAAAAGGAAACCAGATTTTAGGCTATTACATGACTAAACCGTTGTACCTGTAAAAGTGATCTCAGAAGTAGTTATCTATTAGTTTCAAATAATATCTGGAATTAAAACATGCCACCAGAAAACAGTACAAAGGATGAAATGCATATGTTGTGTTCTCAGGACCTATCACTACTGTTTGTTTTATCCCCATGTTAAGTAAAAGAAATGACACGCTTTTTCTTCTAGCTCATACAAAACATCAGAAATTTGTAGCCAATGAGACGCAAAACTCGCAAGATCTTAAAAGCAAAATGTTTCCACAACTTTAAACTAATGGTGACTCCCTCATAAAACAAAAGTAACATAAAAAAAAACGCAAACCTGTCACTTACTTGTACAGCGCGGCGTAGTACCTGTCTGATACAGTCTGCTGAGAGTCCATCACTTGAAACAGTAACATCAGGGCCTGGACGCTGGTGCCAAAGTTCACAAGATGCAGAACTTTGAACAACGTGTCCATTTGTTCTTTCACTTTCTCATCACCAGTCTCAGCGTAAGGATAAGCTCTGTTTACCCCACAAAGCAGAGCACTGAGCATTTTGGATTCAATGTCTTTTTTCTTAATGCAGTTCCGAAAAAAGCAAAAGTACAAAGTTATCAGCTTGTTAGCCAACGCGCTTTCTTCGTGACTGAGGACAATCTGATTCAGGAAGCAAATGGCATAATACTGAGTTTTCACATTCATGTTTGACCGGTACAAAAGCCTCTCCACCTCACTGCACACTACTCCCTTCATATTCGGGTGCTTGTGAAGTAACGTCTCCAAAAGATAAGAGGCCTTGGTGGCGACTTTGTTCTGAGGGTCTCCCAGTTTATTCACCAGCTGAACAAGCAGAACTTTCTCCTGCTCAGGCTTGTTACAGAGAAGCTCGTGGGCAACTGCCAGCGCTCGGGACTTCGCTGCCGTCAGAGAGTCATGACTCAGTGCTTCTAACGTCTGCACAAACTCGGCCACCTGCAGCTTCAAGTGATGCTCAAAGTACCACAGTATCAGCCGTCTGTCTCTTGAATCCCTGTTGCCACTCGACATCTTCTCTATGTTGTCAAACGGTCGCTGCGAGAAAGACCACAATTTCCGATTGTCTGGTAAGAGATCTGAAATGAGAAGCTCCTTGAAAGTGTCCAAAGCCATGAGGCTCTGATGCCTGCTGCCCTTTTTCTTTATAAGGTTTACCAAGTTCTCAACGAACTGGAGACTGTGGACAGCACTGTCCTGAATGAGCAGGGTCATGGCTGCCATCCTGTCAGCCAAGGTCCCCGACGACACGACAGTTTTCATCCACGCCGAAGAGGCCCCCTTCTGATAATCTGTCTTGTTCTTGTACAGGTCCGTCTCGTGTTCGTACAGCTTCTGGGCCAAGGCCTTGTACTTGGAGAGCAGCGCCTGACTTTGCGGCTCTGCAGAGAACTCGTTGGTGTACTCCAGGTCATACCATTTGCCCCCCGGTTTGACCAGTATCACTTGCCTGGCGTGAAATTCAAAATCTTCTTGCGGCCTCTCCTTCTTCGCCGGAAGGTGCCGGTCCCGCTCAGCCCCAGCTCGCTGCTCCGCGCCGTCTTTCGCGCCGCTTGCCTTTCCCTTGGCTTTTTTCCCTCCCCTCGCTTCAGCCGCAGGAGGGTTCGCTCCTTTCCCGCTTTTCTCTTTCTTCGGGGGCTTCTCCTCCCCCCCGCCACC